AACAAACGTAGTCAACAGGAATTGGTCACTGTAGTTGATGCGAGGAACGAGGATCAGGCTCTCTACTGTAGTCGTAAGCTCTCTGACCGACTTGAACTTTCGTTGGTCTAGTCTGTTTATCGCATCAGTGGCTTTTTGTGTGCCATCGAGCTTCTACCATCTCCATGAGCTGGTCTAACGTAAGAGACTTAGCCCAGTCCGCCATGCGTCGTCCGTACCCGACCTTTACAACTACACCATCTAGCCACTTGGCTGCCTTACCCTCGAGGTAAGATGCAGCAGTAACCACTTCGTCCTCCAACAAGGTCCTCTTGGCCTTCACCCAAACCGGGACTGTTCTCAACCAAGTGTTGAGTTCTTCGTCCTTTCTCTCACCTGAGAAGGCAAGAGGCGGTTTCATTGGGGTCTTAGGATACCATTGACCCTGCGGCTGTCCCTGTTGAGGAACAGGTTGTTGCGGTGGTGTAGCTCCCACAGCTGGACCCGAAGAAGAAGATGCAACAGTCTGTGTGGCTGCTGCAGACGTACCACTTGGTTGTGTGCCAGCTTGTACGGGAAAGGGGCTTGACATCGCCGTTAACGGCAACGGCGACTGTGCTGGAGGCCTAAATCCTGGCCTTGTCAGAACGTCCAGGATCTGGTCAAGAGTGCTCTGCATGAAGTCCAATCTGCTGTCCACGTGCGCATGTAAGGACAACATATTTTTCTTCAGTACTTTCATTTGGTCAGACAATGCTGACTCATCCAAGCCCTCTAACTCTGCTTTGTCAACCTCTAAAGTATCAAGCCTGGCTGTTCTATTTTTAATCTCTCTTTCTCTATCAGTTGCTTTCTTCAGGTCCCTCTCTAACTGTTCACAGATCCTTTCGACCTGCTGGAGCTCCTTGAGCTCCCTTTCGCGAGGAGTCAACGGGCTGAACTGCGAGCCCGCCATTTGACTTGTAGACTGACGAGAACCCAACGAACTGGAAGTACCCGTGGACCCTGTTGGCATTCCCAAATGGGTCCCATTGGTCCCAGACAACGCAGCAGAGGATGTTGTGGAACTAGTCATGGCTGCTGCCCAGACTGCTGTTGCAGCCTGTTCCCTAGCTGCGGCATTTGCTGTTTCCCTAGCTGCTGCTAGTGCACGGGCTCTGCGTTCGGCACAAAGCCGTCTTTCGTCTTCCGGTTGTAAGGTCTCAGGATCCTACGTGATCTCGCACGTGTTAGTCCAGCATCGTCAACTCTCTCCTCATCGACGTCTGACCCGTTCATCAATTAGGCAAACATTATCTACACTAGAACCCCCTAGTGGAGTCCTACCACAGCATGTGTCTGACCGACACCTAATTTTCTAAAACTAGTTGTGTCCGGCAGGTTCCGTACTGTACCGATCAAGTGGCATGTCTACAACATTCACTACAGATTGTCAACATAGTCTGTGTATCCTGATGGGTTCACTTACAGCAGCAATAGATAGAACTGGCTATGGTAGCATACAACAATCCTAATCTAATCTGTCTGTGAGGTGTTAGCAGTCTGTCCACCAACTAATCAAGAATAGCAAAGACCATGTTGCAGATGTATGATTGATGGGTATGGTTGTGTTTCCAGTTGAGCACCAATTAGAACCTACCCTCCCCTCAATCCAACATACCGGTAAGCATCATTGAGTGAGCAGTGTCTTCGTCTGTTTTTCGGCCCACCCCTGTGCCCAAGTCATTGCCGAGCAAGCCAGCCAGTCCACTCTTATTTACCCTCGTACGGAACGAGCCTTACACCCGGTTGATCTGGCTGATCAGGAGGAATTTATAGAGCGCCCCCATCTCTTCAGGAATTCTTTAAGGTCGCAGTCAGGACGACGATCACAGCCAGAATCAACCAAGTCCCCAACCAGAAATGTTTATAGACGGTCTGGTAAGCGTCTCATAAAAGGCTGGCACACCCGGCAGGACTTCTATTCAGCGCAGCAAGTGCTAAAATGGACAGCAGCCATCGCATGCGTGACCTACTCTCATTGGGTTGGCATGGTGACCGTGACCCAGTGCTTCGACCAGGGCCCTTCAGAGGCACCGCCCTTTCTCCTTCCAGATGCTTCCGGGAAGATTGTCGTATCTCAAGGTAGAGCGCTCACGACACCTCACCAAAAGAGAGGACTCTCAAGTTGGACTCACTTCCTCATGGTAAGAAGAGATTGAGAGAGTAGATAAGGTAAGGGAACAACGTACCTGGAGATAGCCGCCCCCAACCACAGATTTCTCACCAATTGAGCTGAATGTGCATTTGATGACCGGTCCCTGGCCTCGGTACCACCCACAACGCAATGCAGTGCCACCTCAGCCTAATGCCACATCAGCATGCTCTCATCACCAATCATACATTCCGCCTGTCGCCACGGCATATACTACCGTCTTAGCCTTCCGACGCACCCCTCTCTACCCAGGGCGTGCGCCTATATATGGCCTGACGTCACAAGTACCAACTGCGAAGAAGCATCGTCAACGCACGAATCAAACCAGCTCCGATACCAAATTGCAAGGAACATGAATATGGACGAAGCACAGAAATCCAGATTGCAAAAATCACACTGAAGTCCATGTAGTCAAAGCCAGAGCAGATAGCACAATGGAACCGAGTAACCATCCATTTGAGAATGATACAGAAGAATCGTGAGTCAATGTCCAAGCCCAACAGGGCAACACCAACAGCATAACCCAATCTAGCTCTCTCTTGTGAATGGCGCCAGGCGCCCTGTCTACTCTACAGCCTAAGCCTACAACTACAGCAATGAAAGCAACCAGACAACTTACTACCAGCGAGTGATGATGTCAACACCAATGCCGACCTCCACCTCCACCAGGTACGTGTCCTCTTCACCCATACTCTCCCTCGTTACCCACACAGCGCCCTTCACCTCCGAAGAACCTCCTTCGCCCTCACCTCCCCTGCACCCTATGCAGCCCGGCTATGGCCGCCAGCGCACAGTGCACAGGCAGCGCCCTACCGCCTAGCGCCTGCCTGTCTTGCACCTCGTCCTAGCGCAGCGCAGCAGCTCGCATTAGCGCAGCGTGCCGGCATTGCCCGCAATGGCCAAGATCCCTGCCCGCTCGCCCTGCTTGCCTATATGCCAATGCTGCGTGTGGGCGGCCTCCCTTCAGCCTGCGACTGGGCCCCAGTGCCTGAACCCTGGCCCGATGCAGTTGCGCCTCTTTCGTCAAGGCCTGCGGCCAGATTCAGATAGTGGGCTGATTCCCCTTTGGCATTTTCGGCCTCTATACCCAGCATGCATTGTCGGCCTCACGTTCAAGTGCCCAGGGCCTAACTAACTCGGAGGCCCTGGGATCTCCACATTTGCAGAGATTCGAGACTCGGTGCACTCCAACCAACTGGCGTGCTGCAACTGTATGGACCCCACTTAGGGAAATGTTTGCACAGAGGGCTCTTGTTGATTTGCTGGCCCGCCTTCACTTAGGGCGGGCACTAGGCTTGCTGGGGCCTTGCCCCAGAACATGTACATCATGGCAAGGCCCCTTCTTGAGGTCTCAATCCTCACACAAATGGTCAAACAGGTCCAATCAGCGCCTGCTCAAACGAAGTCCAGAAAAATGCAATCAATAACGGGACAAAACAAACTGGCACAAAAAGAAACATGAGGAAAATACACAGTGATTTGAAACAGAGAAAGCTGAACAACTGACCCGTAACAAATGAAATACACACACCTAGGCTTCAGAAGGGACGAAATACACACACATCTGTCTAGGAATTTCCATGAGGCTCTCTCGGCACTAATGCCTTGGAAATGGTGTATCACAAAGGGCCAAGTAAAAAGGATGTCTGGGCCTCCAGGCGTGGTGTGGGCGGCCCCTGCATGCCAAACGAGGTCACTGTGCTCTCTTATGCTGCAAGCCATTGGACTAGCAGATGATGATACTGGAAGTCACCACGGCACTGGCCGGCGACAGCAGGAAGGAGAAGTAACCCTTCAAGCTGCTTCATTGTGCGACAGTGCGTTGACCTTTTCTCTTGTGATTGCTCTGTAGATGATTAGGCTTCGCATTGCTCACCTCTAGTGAATTAACCTGTTTCAGTCAGTGTCGTGCCTTCTTTGTGGCCGTGCTTTTTTACCAGGTAAAACAGATATTGGAAAAGCATCCTGTTTGCTTCTCGTGGGAATATGTGGCTGTCTCCCTGGTGGTTTCGTGCTGTTGTCACTTTTGGTCTGCGAGAAGAAAAACATGTTTAGTCGTCAAATTGTGACCTTTGGATTCACCTCTGCTGGAAATATGTGGCTGTCTGTTCGCTGGTTCCATGGTCTTGCAACTTTTTGGTCTACAAGACTACAACAAGGAAAGCAAGAAGAAAAATTGCCAAACCGCTAGCTGCTGTAGCTACATCTATTTGGCCTTCGTCAGTCTGATCAATGCTCTCCTATCGATTGCCTTTTCATGAAAAACCTGCTGTGCATTGTTTGGCAATGCAACGTTCGTTGGAGTGCTGTTTCAAGTCTTATAATGAAAAATACAGGAGAAAAGCATGTTATTCAGTGATTTATGCTCGAGTTTGAATTTTGTTTTGCTGGAAATATGTGGCCGTCTGCATGGTGGTTCTGTGCTCTCGATGCCAAATCATAAGCTTCTAGTTGGATCCATTGGGCCTTGGTTTGATCAATGTTGTCCCATAGATGGCTTGTTCATTATATCCAAGGAAAGAGAGAACCTGTGGAGCATGGAAAGTAACCATCAGGTGGAGGAACGGGAGACAACAGAGGGAAGGTGAGAGAGATGGTGAGGGGTATTTTGAGCTGGGAGAGCAGGCTTTAACTCTGTACTTGCTTTGGCAGAGAGACATTGCAAGTCACTGATTAAAGCCGGACCAGTCTTTCCTTCCAATGACTGCAAACGGATGTTGGGCCTTCCTATCATTCTGCCCTCGTGATTGGCAACGTGAACAGATAGTCGAGGCATTTATGGGCCTTGTATGACTGATCAACAGCATTGCCTGCTTGTGATGTGCAGGGCCAAGGCAAAGCCACCAGCCCAGCGACCTACAGAATCACAGGAGGCCAGTGCAAAGTCACCTTCGCATTCTGGGGTAGCCAAGTCCAGGGATGGAGAAGAGCGTAGTGGTGAGTACCTTCATGGCTGGTTTATGCTGAAGTGCTCATGGGATTGTGGCTTGATTGTGGCTTGCATGGGCACTTCATCTGACACAAACAGGTGCAATGAACCTCCCGACTTCAAACCCAAATCACCGCATGCATGAGAAGAATATTCACGTGAGATCACACAAAGCCAGAAGAATATTCCTGTGGCCTAAGCCACGACTCAACAACAACCAGACAGGTATGTACCCATGCCGAGCCTGCATGCGGGCTCCATTTCAGGGGCCCGACGGTTGCTGAGGGGCCCCCAGGCCGCACACCGCGCGTCCTGGAGGCCCAAGGCGGCCCTTAGGCCGCAGGTATCGATTTGAGATAGCATTTATTTATTTATTTATTTATTTGTTCGCTGTCCGGTTTTTGTCTATTCAGATGCCGGTTTGGGCTTGCAGTTCCCAAGGCCACGCCTTGGGCTGGGTACACCAGGAGGCAGGGCCGTTTGAGGCCAGGCGCGTTTTGCGCCCTGCTGCATCAGCAGGACGGTACGGACGCCCGGTAGGGGCCAAGACCGTGTGAGCCGTTTCAGGCCAGCGCAGGAGGCACACCCAGCCGGCCCAGTGCACTTATAGCTGGGCCACGGCTGAGCAGACACACAGTTCGAGTAGCTCACTTCTGGAGGCGACGTGCTGCTGGACCAGCGCTGCAGCACTACAGTGCTACGTTGGAGTAGAGGTAGAGGCGTAGGTAGGCAGAGGGGCAGAGGCCTTATTTGCACCTGTGGCACTTACCTGGTCCCATAGCTGGGGCTCCACGCTGGCGACCTGCACGTAACGACGACGACAACAGTCAGTCCATATTGGCGGTGTCGAGTGCATTGGTCCCGCAGGGGACCATCCTGGCCATGTCACGCAGGATTTTGCAGGACTTTTTGTCGCAGTCCGAGTGCGCCAGCCACTCCTCTCACGAACCCCTACGACAGGATAGGGGCCATGGGAGGCACAACTTACCTCTGCCCAAGGGGCTGTCACCACCCTTGGACAGGTGTATCCCCTCCGAGCTACCGAATCACTTTGAAACCTGCTAAGTTGCAATCGCAGAGGCGGCCCAGCCGAGGGCGTTTCTCATACGCTATAGCATAGGGGGTATGCCCGGTCGAACACCTTAATCGGACCCGTACACGAACCGACGCTCTGGAGGTTGATGTCTAAAGAGGGGTTCAACGTCGGTCGATTAGGACGGTCCATCTAACCACCCACAAGAGGTTAACGGGGCATCTGGTTTTCTGAAATTAGGGTTTTGGGCTCAAATTTCATGTTTTTTTGGAATTTCAAGTTTTTGCTATATATGCATTTTGATAGGGTTGTCGTATATGAAATTTGGGGTTATTTGGAGTTTTAGAATTTGCGCTGTTAAGATTTCTGAAATTTCTGAAATTGGTCGAGTGTTTTTTGGGCCAAATTTCATGGAAATGCACCTTTGGCTTGCTGTAACCACACGATACAGCACTCCAAAACAAACTAACTTTTACACGTAAATCGCGCGTAGTCCCTTTTTGTATTCGACCCATAACCTTTTAATGACAACAAGTGAACCAGCCGCAGCTACGGTGCGGCAAAGGACGATGAGAAAACCATTTTGTGAAACACCCCAGCCATCCGTTGGACCCCATCTTTGCAATGTACCCCTGTCGAACGCTGCCCAACTTTGCAAAATGCCTGGGCAGTCGCGAAGTTTTCATAAGTGCAATTGCGAAAGGCCAAGCGAATTTGCGCACCTGCCTGACAGGGGCATAACACAAACATGTCAGCTCAGAATACCGTTCCACGGTGCCCATATCTTTGAGGGACATTTTGACATATATCTAAACTTATGGGGCTATTTGGCAAATTACCCCTATCCTCCCCCCGCGCCCCGCCCAAAAAAAAAAGGAGACTCTCTCTCTCTCTCTCTCTCTCTCTCTCTCTCTCTCTTACACATGCACGCACTCGTGCCCGTGCACCGCGCGATATTTCCCTCGATAGGATAATCAGAACCGAATGGATCTCTCTCTCTCTCTCTCTCTCTCTCTCTCTTACACATGCGCGCACTCGTGCACCGCGCGCTACTTCCCTCGATAGGATGAGCAGAACCGAATGGATCTTCTGCTAGAACATCGGAATATACACTACAACA